TTAAGTTTCGTTAAAGTATATTTCTTTTGATTTAGGGCTTTACAAGACGTTTGGTGAAGACGAGCAAGGAAGTTGATGAGATATTAGAGACCATTGTTAGAGAGCATGAAGAGGCAGCACCAGAAGAACAGAATAGACGACACAAGGACTTTGTGGACATACTACTCTCTTGCATGGATACCAATTACGATGATCACCACAACTTTGTCATAGATCGAACCAACATCAAAGCCATGCTTCTGGATATGACTGCTGCTGCATTAGACACTTCTTCTGCTGTCATTCTGTGGGCTTTTCCAGAACTCTTAAGGAATCCAAGAGTGATGAAAAAACTCCAACTTGAACTAGAAAATCAAGTAGGAAAAAGCAAAATGGTCGAGGAAGCCGATTTGCCAAGGTTGAGTTACTTAGATATGGTGGTTAAAGAGACTATGAGACTATACCCAGTTGGACCCTTACTAGTCCCTCGTGTGTGCGGGGAAGATATCATAATCAATGGCTATTACATAAGGAAGAATTCTCGAATCATAGTGAATTCATGGAGCATAGGAAGAGATCCTAAGGTATGGTCTGATAATGTGGAAGAATTCTGTCCAGAGAGGTTCTTGGAGGGCAATATGGACTATCGAGGACATGAGTTCCAATTCTTACCATTTGGTTCTGGTCGAAGAGGCTGCCCTGGTTTGCAATTGGGTTTAATTACTGTTAAGCTTATTTTAGCACAGTTAGTGCACTGCTTCAACTGGAAACTTCCGGAGGACAAGTCTCCAGATGAGTTGGATATGACTGAGACATTTGGTTTGTCAATGCCAAGAGCTAATCACTTGCTAGTTCTCCCATCTTATCGCCTACCAATTAATTGACGAATCTTAGTTTGAGGCGTTTTGCAGCCCAATAATGGCTCCACCCCTTATATCATAATCAATGCAAGGCATGTTATTGTAGCAGTTTTGGTTAGCCATATGTCAGTGTAATCTTTAACGGAATGGTTAAAAATTAATTATGTGATAAATTTATTTTATAATGTCAATTGTGCTCCCATATTTTCAATTAAGCTTTATATATTGGTTATCTTTTCTTCCCCCCTTTGAGAGGTAGCGCTTCGTCTATTTTGTGACATTTGAATAAAATATTAGAACTCGTTCAGAAAAAAATAAAATAAAATAAAATATTTGAATAGGCACAATATGGGCGAGCTATTTTTTTTTTTGGGTATACAACAGGGCAAAAGCCCAAAAAGTAAACTAAATACTCAGGGGATTAAATCCCAGCAAATCGTTTCGTAAATACTCCTCAAATGAGTAGGACATGTGCTGAACAAAGACGACCTTGAGAGCCCATCTTTTGCCAGCGAGTCAGCGAGCATATGGGCGAGCTATTATTTGGGCTATTGCCTCGTTTGTGTACCCAAACAAATAACAAACGAAAAAAAAAGGAACTAAAGAGAAATGTTGGCGAAGCCTAGTCCCCAAAAAAATGGCAAGGTGTCAAGGTCCAAATATGTTTTGAGTTAGCCAACGAAAATTAAGTTTAGCAGAAAAAAATAATTCTCAAAAACATAACAAATCAAGATTTGCATTTTCACTAAAAAAAGTACTCATATTTAGTACTCCTTTCGGTCCTAAATATAACATCAATGTTGTAGTGTAAATATAACACGTATTTTGCAGTAATTACACTACAAAATTAGTGTTATATTTAGGATAGGAAGAGTAGTTGACAGTGACTCTAATAAGATTATTTTTAATAGCTTGAACATTGAGTGATCTTATTCTGCAAGAGAGAGGTGTTTGGGGGCAGTCCTTGCTATATTCACTGAAAAGGAAAAAGACTCTGAAGGAGATTTGGGCATCTGTCTTTGATCCTCACGGTGCATTATAGCAATCCGTATGTGTTCGGTCTTGTCGACCTGGGGTTAAGTGAAGGTTCCAGGATCATCCAGATTTAGTACTGTTTCTTTCTTTTCTTAGTGAAATGGTACGCGATTAAGGTGAAAAACGAGGAGGAGGAAAATAGTGCTCTATTTATCTAGTGGCTGATAGAAGAGAAGGATTATTAGGGAAGGATTATTCAGTTCAGTATTCATTCACCGCCACATGTTATTTGCACCACAGAGAAACCATTGACCGAAAACAGAGAAACCAACGTCACCTTCACGCGTTTTTCTTTCTGGGTATAGAAAGTCACACCACGTTTCAAACATTTTAATTTGTTACAAGTTTTTATTTGAGATTTATATGTAATTTTCCTTTAATTTCGTATTCCTAACAGAACAACAGCTCATTAATTTTGCGTGGGAAGCTTTCTCATGACACTTTTAATATATAATTTCGTCCGAATATCTTACATAGCCTCAATTTTTTTTAAATTTTAATTTTACTATTAGGTGAATGGGCAAATTTACCCATTATAATATTAAAAAAAATACCAGACACTATAATAAAATATAGGAGACAAAAATGCCCATGAACAGTAGGATGCAAAGATCGGATGACATCGCTGATGAAGCCGCCAGGAAGAAAAAATAGGCTTTGGTGGGGACCATTTTTGGAAGAAAATGGGCATTCCGTTTGAGCATTGGGAAGCCATTAGAACCAGAAGTTGTTGCTGCTATTCGATTGTGACTTAATGAGTTGGTGTATTGTGATTGGAGGGGGGCATGGATGGGGTGATATTAGATGACACCGAGACAGTAATATGGGACCCACCAAATGTAAAGGTGACAAACGTTTTGGAAAATAAACGGAAATACTCCTCCTGTCCTTAATATAAGATCCATTTAACTAATTTGATTAGATTAAGAAAGTTAGGTAAGTTAGTTAATTGTAATAAATATGATACGTTTTTTCTAAAACACCATAATCATCTTTCTTAATACCCCCTCTCCCTCTTCTATTTGATTATGGTTGAGGGAGTATCCATAGGAGTAATTTAGAGATTATTGATAAATATGAGAAATGAGTTTTATATTTAGGACCAAAACCAACTCAATAGAGTAACATTTTTGTCCCGTTTTTAAAGAGTTCACGTACATTTTTACTCTCGGTATTTTATCACGATGTTTGATGCCTCTTTTTAATATTATGATGGATAAATTTCTTCTTCACCTTTTAATATTTTAAGATTCAAATCTCTTTTTTTTCCCCAACATGTTATTCAAATAAGTTTCTATTAAATTGATTTTTTTTATAAAAACCTATTTAAAAATAAATCATATTATCCTGATTGATTTTTATTTTTATTTTAATTTATAAAATAAGTCGAGATAAAAGTTACTTTTGTAGGTATTAAACAAAATGTTAATTTTGTAAATGTCTAAACAAGTCCTCGTCTAAGTTATCAAAAATTATTATAAGAGATTAAACATGAAATAATTATTATTTGAGCTGATTTTAAAAAAATAAATTATTTTCAAATCTCATGTTTTGGAATCTGCGGAGAAATAGGAACGACAAGATCTTTAGCAAAAAGACAAAGGATCCGAGTGAACTGATAATGAAATGTCAGACCCTAGCTGACTAGCTGTTGAGTGTATACAGGAAAAAACCAAAGATACCCAGCGAAAAAATGAATGCGCTAGTAAGACTGTGAAATGGTGCAAAGCTAACAGAGATTGGGTGAAACTTAACTCTGATGATTCCTGTCTTGGGGACCCTAGATTTGCGGCCTGTGGGGGACTAATCAGAAACAGTGATGAAAAATGGATCAGTGGTTACTCTAAAAAGATTGGAATCTGCAGTGTGGATTGAAAAGGAAAGCTTGGGAGATTATTGAAAGGAGATGGGAGTTGAAGATCACAGCGATTCTGAAAAAGATGAATGGCTGTGCAGATAGTCTGGCAAAAATTGGACTTCGAATGGTTAGGGATTTTCAGATCTGGGACTTGCCGCTGTTACCTTTGAGGATAAGGTTGGAAATGGAGGCGTCTGAAGTCGGAACTGGAAGTGAATCTGAACGTGTTGGGGAAGGTTAGGTTTCGTAGGTTGATCTTTTGAGGGTACTTTTGGGCTTTGGGCCCTGTTTGTTTACCTTCAAAAAAAAAAAGTCACTTTGAAAAGAATTTTTAAGGTTTTTTTTTTGCGATTTTTACAATAAATTAGCCCTTCGCAATAAGTTTTGTTAGAATTCTCAAACCCATGTAAAAAAGGCTACATTTTATTTTTCTTTCTCCTTTGCTTGTGTGTATTTAATTTGTTCTGTGGGTCCAGAATCAAAATCTCATACAAGCCAAAAATTTGCGTGTCAAATGGTCAATATGCCTTTTATTATAATTATACAGTTGGTTACTTTGCTCTCCTTTTATTTTTACTGAAATTTTTTTATTTAAATTATACAGTTGGTTGCTTTGTTTACCAATAAGTGATTCTCAGTAAAATATAATCAAACAGAGAGAATAGATAAAAACTAAGCTAAAAAATATGATTACAAAATTTAAATTTTAAAGAGGATAAAAGAATTTGAGTGAAACTAGATTGTTAACTCAGGCCACACGTGAAGTTAGAAATAAGCCGCAAAATTTTAGTTTTATGAAAAGTACTCTTCTGATTCTTAATATAAGACCCATTTAACTAATTTGATTAAATTAAGAAAGTAAGGTAAGTTAGTTAATTATAAGAAATGTGACACATTTTTTTTAAAACACTATAATTATCTTTCTTAATGCTCCCTCTCCCTCTTCTACCTGATTATGGTTGAGGGAGTATCCATGGGGGTAATTTAGAGAAAATTGATAAATATAAGAAATGAGTCTTATATTTAGGACCAAAACCAACTCAACAATTGGGTCCTATATTAAGGACCGGAGAAGCATAATTTTGTACAAAATTTTATAATATATATACATAGTTTACATTAATCCTACAAAAATTTGTTACTGTTACTCAAATTAACCAGGTATTATTGATCCAGGGTTTTACAAAACGCTTAAAGACGAATGGTAAGGAAATTGATGAAATGTTAGAAACGATCATCAAAGAGCATGAAGAGGCACAAACAGTACTGCAGAAAATGCAACACAAGGACATCGTGGACATATTACTCTCTTGCTTGAAGGATTCTCATGACGATGAACAAAATCCAGTCAAAGATCGAACCAATATCAAGGCCATACTTTTGGACTTGCTTTCTGGTGCAATAGACACTTCCGTCACTGTTAGTCTCTGGGTTTTCTCAGAACTCTTGAAGAATCCCAGAGTAATGAAAAAACTCCAACATGAGCTGGAAAACCTTGTAGGAAAAAGCAATTTGGTCGAGGAGGTTGATTTGCCGAGGTTGACTTACTTGGACATGGTGGTCAAAGAGACTTTGAGACTACATCCTGTTGCGCCATTGCTGCTCCCTCGAGTCAGCACCAAGGATATAACTATCAATGGATATTATATAAGGAACAAGTCACGAGTGATTGTGAATGTGTGGGCAATAGGACGGGATCCTAAGATATGGTCAGATAATGCGGAAGCATTTTATCCAGAGAGGTTCCTGAATAGCAATGTAGATCTCCGAGGAAAAGACTTCCAACTGATACCATTTGGTTCAGGTCGAAGAGGATGCCCTGGCATGCAGTTAGGGTTAATTACTGTTAAGCTGGTTATAGCACAATTAATGCATTGCTTTAATTGGGAACTTCCACAAGGCGTTTCTCCTGATGAAGTGGATATGACTGAGAAATTTGGACTATTGATTCCAAGAGCTAATCACTTAGTAGCTCTTCCATCATATTGCCTAGCAGAGTGATTGTTGTGCTCAATCATGTTAGTGTAATTTTCTTTATAGCCTGAATTGTTTAAGATTATGTAATTTGTGTTATGATTGGGTCTTTCCTTCCATATTTTTTAATAGTTTTTACATAAATATTATTAATTTTTTCTTAACAATAGATGAAGAACATAACAACCGCATTATATTGATGCTCATAGAGTTTGATCAATAGTTGGAATCAAACTCTAGACCTGTTGCCACCAAGAGCACATCTTGTGCTACTAGACCAAATAGTCTTAGGTTGAAATTTGTATTTTACAAAATAAAATAAAATAAAATAACATCATACATAAAAGACTCATTTTCTTTCATTTCATTTTTATATACAACGCATACAAGTGACGATATATAGATATGTTATGTTCATTTTCTCTCATGTTGCTTGTTCGTTTAAGAAAATTAAACTGCGCAAACTAAATAAAACTAAATAAAATTAACAGGATGATCCTGGGATGTGCTAAGGATGATAGGTTTTAACTTAAAAGGGCTTGTTCAGGAGGCACTGAGCTTGGCGGGACAGTTTAATCTGGTTGATTATGTCCCGTGGCTAGGTATACTGTATACGGTATCTCGCTTGTTGCTTTTCTCTTCTATTTTGTCTTACGTTTCTCATAATTTTCTCTTCCCCTACTTTTCTCTACATTCAGACAGAGGAATAAAAAGGCCTGTTTAAGCTTAAAGATTTGCCTACATGAAAAATAACATCAAGAATAATGGCACCCAATTTTCTTCTTAATGCTAGCACGCGTGGAATATTTGTGAAGGACATCTTACTTCAACTTACATTGTTAACTTTCATTGATGACTTATTAAATTAAAGAATTTGCTTTAATTTTGTGCTAGTAGTCGATCATTTTAAGCGCATGATAATTGGATTTCCTTCCATTTTTCTTTAACAGTAAATAGTTTCTTCGATACCCTCTAAAGTTATACAGATAAAGCGGTGTGTTTATGCATAACAGCTGGCGAAAACATTGATATATAGATATATGTGTGTCTGTGTGTGAAACTCTGAATCGAATGACCTATTTGACTAATTAATGACAGCGTTTGACACGAACATTAAAGAGAAACGTTATGGCACTGGACGATGTCACTACAAAAAAATTGACTTGTCTCCGCTGAAAGTACAACAGTCACCGCCGAAAGTTTTTTGCGGCGACAAGTCGCCCCTGAAAAGTCGTTGCCGTAGCAGCTGTCGCTGAAAACTTTCAGTGGCGACTAAAAAGGTCGCCGCTCAAAGATACTTTCAGCGGCGACTTTTAGAAGTTTCGGCGGCAACAAATGTCGCCGCAGAAAACACTTTCGGCGGTGACACTCTTGTCGCCGCTGAAAGACTTTTAAGCGGCGACAAATGTCACTGCCGAAAGTGTTTTCTGCGGTGACTTTTTTGTCACCGCTGAAAGTAATGCCTAAGAAGAATTGGCTTTACCAATGCCACGTCATCACCGCCGGTGCCATGTCATCGTCTCTGGCTGCCACGTCATCACTGTCGACCTCCACGTCATTGCCACCGGCAGCCACATCATCACTAGCCACCTCCACATCACTCCTCCTCGCCACGTCATCGTCCAAATATTTTCACCTTAAATGTGTCTTCTTCCAGGTTCGAACTCGTGACCGCCTCCTTTCGTGTCCAATCTTCTTGCTGCTGAGCCAGATTAAATTTGTTTATTAATATTGTAAAATAAAATATATATTATTATATTATACTTTCAGCGGTGACAAAAAAAGTCACCGCTGAAAGTCCACTTTCGGCGGCGACAAAATAAGTCGCCGCTGAAGGTCTACTTTCAGCAGCGACACTTTTGTTGCCACTGAAAGTCTTGGTTTTAATAATGAACTTTCAGCGGCGACTAAAAAAGTCGCCGCTAAAACTCTACTTTCGGCGGCGACAAAAAAAGTCACCGCTGAAGGTCTACTTTCGGCGGCGACACTTTTGTCGCCGTTGAAAGTCTTGGTTTTAATAACGAACTTTTAGCAGTGACTAAAAAAGTCGCCGCTAAAAATCCACTTTCGGCGATGACAAAAAAAGTCACCGCTGAAGGTCTACTTTCAGCGGCGACACTTTTGTCGCCACTGAAAGTCTTGGTTTCAATGGCGAATTTTCAGTGGCGACTTTTTGGTTTCGCCGATGAAAGTGGACTTTCAGCGGCGACTTTTTTTGTTGCCGTCGAAAGTTGTCGCCTAAAGTCTATTTTTTTGTAGTGTGTGTTGGAAAAAATAGTCAGAGAGCAGGAATAAGCTACAAGAGAACAAAATGGCCAGAATCACGTCGACTTCGTACACATAATGCTTTCCTTGATACGTCAACCTACGGATTTGTATGACGACCAAAACAATGTTATTGATAGAGACCACCTCAAGGCTATTTTAGCATATATGATTTTTGCCGCAACTGACGCTTCTGTCATTGTGGTTGACTGCGCTCTATCTGAACTCTTGAGGCATCCAAGAGTGATTAAAAATCTCCAAAATGAGCTACAAAATGTGGTTGGAATGAACAGAATGGTGGATGAGGCTGATTTAGCAGAGTTAAGTTACTCATATATGGTCATTAAGGAGACTCTTAGATTACATCCACCTGCTCCTTTACTTATCCCTCGAGAAAGTATGAAGGATGTCACAGTTAATGGATATTGCATAAGAAAAAAGTCCAGGATCATGATGAATGCATGGGCTATCGGACGAGATCCTAAGTTATGGTCCGATGATGCTTATATGTTCTATCCAGAAAGGTTCGTTGATAACAATATAGATATTCATGGGCATAATTATCAATTTTTACCATTTGGTTCAGGTCGTAGAAGATGTCCTGGACTTCAAATGGGTATGACCACAGTTAAGTTAGTTGTAGCTCAATTGGTGCATTGCTTTAGTTGGGAGCTTCCTTGTGGCGTGTGTCCAAGTGACTTGGATATGAATGAAAAGTTTGGCCTCACAGTCCGAAGAACGAAGCATTTGCAGGTTGTTCCAACTTGTAGATTACATACGGACTATTCAAACTGATTATCAAGGTCTAGGGTTTTAGGCTATGCCTTTAGTTATGCATCCAGTGTACCTTGTCTGAAAATAAAGGCTCAGATTACAAGGCCTATCGTTTGAGGAATTATGTGGGTATTTTTATATTAGCAAGATTCTTCATACTTTTCCGTCGATCAGTTTTTTAGTTTAACTTGATGCGTTCTATTGTATATGTGTGTTGTTTTAATTTATGGAAATCGCATGAAGAATGTACTGTGCTTGTGTGTGTGTTGAAATTTATTTCAATAATGTCAAACATATATAGCTTAACGTGTAAGATTTTCTATAGTCTACATATAATTGTTTCTCTCCCCTTGTTTTTATTTTACCCAAGCAGTCAGACATACGCTGTATATATGTGTATATAAACTACCAACAAGAGTTGGCTTAATTGGTAAAAAGTCGGCTCATAACCTGTAAGATCGTGAATGTGAATCCCATTACCTATGTAAGGACCGCATTGGTGGGCATCAAATAAGCGTTTTCTGAGCTTCAAAGTATACCTTGGTCATGGTAAGCCTCTAAAACCCAACTCATCTAAACTTTTAGTATACCAAATATATATATATATATACATATATATAAACCACTATCTGTATAAGTATATGGATTTTACAAATAGTATATTACAAATAAAGATATTTCCTTCAAACGATTTAGTAATTTGTTATCAAGTATGATCAATTTGACACTTTAATTAGAGGCACAATTTCGGGTATTCCGGTGGAAGCAGAAATTTAAATCTAAATTTAAGAAACAAAACAAAGTTTAAATTAAATATGCCATAAATTTCATTTTTTTTAAATCTTCCTCAAAGAAAACTAGACAAAACAATAACTGATTTACCCAAACTACTTTGTTTTTTTCCTTCTTTCTTGGGCAAGCAACAATTCTTTATCATATGCTTATATTCATTATCAGAATAGTGATTGTTAATGTCGCATGATTTTACATAAACATATAATGTCTTAACTTGTGACGGTCCGTGCATTTGCCGTGCCAATACACACATATTATCTTATAACCCTAATGTTTGATAGTACTTTTAAAAGTTAATTCATAAGATTCTATCGGTGAAGATTATTATTCTTATGAGGGGATGGTTCTAATTAAGCTCTGATTTTATCATTTGGTGATGATGTGTAGCGCCCAATAATTAAATTACTCAATTATATTGCCTTAGCCATCTGATCATGGCAATGGAGCTTCATGGATGGTAATTGACGCAGGCTCCATGGAAGTTTCCATCTTTCTTGAGCACCAAGTGTGGATTTTGGACACCGAGAATTTAATTTATCCTTGGGCAAGAAGTAGAGGACTATGTCCATGGAAGAGCTTCCTTCAATTCAACAGCAATCTGGTCAAAAAATTACTGGGAACAAAGAAGATGACGATGCTTGAATATAATATACGTAGTGTGAACTCAACAAATGTCCATATCCATTTATCGGGAGACAAAAGCTCACAATTTTATATATACGAAAGAGGTTGATGAGTTTGGATTCTCTTTCTCGAGGGTTTGACACTTTTGTTTTTTTAATTTCTTAGGTCTTTGTTTGTTTCTATCTATTTACGTATTATCTTGCTGATCACGTCATAGGAACAGGATCCTACCTATTTCACATATATATTAGCATTCAATCCGCCACTATCAAGCATAAGCACAAAATTTATTCCCTCTTTGATCGGTTTCCGAAGCAAAACAACCAGACATGTTTCCTTCAACACTAGCGATTCCTGCGATCCTTTTGTTGACATTGATATTGGTCCTATCCACTAATATCCTCTTCCCAAAACGACACAAAGATGGTCAGAACCAACCACAGGGGCCACCGCCCCTCCCAATCATTGGTAACCTCCACATGTTGGGTAAACGACCACACCGTAGCCTTCGATCGCTGGCCCAAAAATATGGTCCCATCATGTCGTTGAAGTTGGGACAAGTTCCTGCGATT